CCCTCCCCTCCCCTCCCCTCCTCTTCCCTCCCCTCCCGGCTTTTTTCTTCTCCCCTTTCCCATCTCTTTGCTTTTTTGCCGTCCGCTCCCTGCCCTTCCGGGGGTCTCCCGGTGCCTCCGGCCCGCGGCCGGCGGAGGGAGCTGCGGCCGCACGGTCCCGCAGCGAGCGGCGGGGCGGAGCGGGGCGGCGGCGCCGCCTGCCACTTCCCCTTCCCTTCCCTTCTTTTCCCTTCCCTTCGCCGCGCTGCGATCCGGCTCCGGGTCAGAGCCGCAGCGGCCGCTCCGCAGCACCGCCCGCGCTGCCGCCATGCCCCGGGGCTGCGCGCCCGCCCGCCCGCCGTGAGTACCGACTGCCTCCGTCCCCCGGGGTCCCCACGGCTGTCCCAGCCGCTCTGCACGGCTGTCTCCGGGCAGCTCCCACGCGTGTCCCCGCTCGAGGGGCTGACGGCACCCGAGCGGAGCACCCGGAGCCGGCGCGGTGCTTGTGCTCCGGGCGCTCCGCCGCCCGCCCGGCTCTGTCTCGCCGATGCCGGCGGAGCTCCGGCCGCGCCGCCGCTCCCGCTGGAGGCAGAGGCAGGTCCAGTGGGAGCAGCCGGGTCAGCGAGCGCCCGAAGCGCCGCATCGCTGGGGCACGGGCGGCTCCAGCCCCGTCCTCGGGTTTGGAGGGGTCGCGGCCGCGCCGGGCTTCGGGCTTGGCACGCAGTTGAGGGTTTATGCCGGGGATTGTCCAAATGTGGGCAGCTCGGACTCGAAACACAACCCGGCTTTCCTTAACTTTTCTGCGCTTCCCGTCGCGGGACTGGGATTTGGGGTGCTGATAACTTGCTAGCTGCACCCGGATTTGAGTCTCCTGTTCTCGTCCTTCTCGAATAATCGGGTGCTCTTCTGGCCGCGAAGCACCGGCTCCTGCTCATCCCCTCGCTGCCTGCGCGGAGCCTGGCGGTGCGGCAGTGCAGAGCTTCTCTTGCCCGGTGTGATGCTTGACCGAACAGCCGAAGTGTTTCACCGAGACGAGCTGCAGTCTCTGATTCTGGAAGTCAGAGTAGCGTTTTGATGGAGATCCTCAGATGACAGTGTAGATTCAAATGCGGTTTTAGTTACATCCGTCTGATCTTCCATGCGTTAGAAGTGAAAAAGCCTTTTCTGCCTCTATTTGTCTTCTAGCTGCAGCTTGTCTTTTAGTTATGAACGGAATTTTTGATGGATTGTGCTGGAAAAAGTAATATTTTGCCCATAAATGAGGACTTTTCTGTATGAGGAATTTATTCTGAATCAAGATGCAGAGTATATTTACATTACAGTAGCTGACCCAGTAGAGTTTTCCACATAGCCACTGTTCCACAGTAGCTGTTACAGACAATTTTCCCATGAAGACGTTCTAAATGTTATTACTTGCTTTTGTGCTAGAATTTTTTTTGCATATTTTTCTTACCACCATTTTCATCTGGACTTTGTCAGCCTGATGACTCTGAGTTTATAGCATTATTCTCTGTACTGAAGAATTTGGGATATATTTTACTACTTTGTTCCTTAGGAAAAAAAAGGCATTAACTCAAGGCAGAACTTTATTTTTCTGCAATTAATGAAGTGGAAGAAAAAGGGTATTGCTGAGAAAACACACCAGAGAGATGCATGCAAACAACCCAGCCTGACTGTTTACTTCCCTCTCGTGCAGCTGTAAGGTCCCATGCTCCAGCAGGGGCTCCAGCACGTCCGGGCTCTCTGGTACCGTCTCTCTTTCCACAGAGATGGGAGCGCCGCTGCTTAGGGCTGAAGGCTGTGCTTGGATAGCACTGCCTGTAACTGCAGGACAGGAAAACGGGTTCCATGCACCAGCTGGCAGAGGGGCTGGGACTTGCATGGTCCAAAGGAGCAAACCCAAGTGAATGCAGGTGATAGATCAGCTCAGAAACAGCCCAAGGTAGGTGGGTATGTCCCTGGAATGTGCAGAGCAGTAGATGTGATCAGAGCTGTGAAGCTACAGGTTTTAATATTTGTAATGACAGTAAACTGTCCCCATGCTAAACATGGACTAAATTTCTTTGGGGTAAAGCATGTCTCTCAGTATTGAGTAGTTGAGTCAATCTGAAAACCTGTTCTCAACAAAGAGCAGCCATTGTACTCTCTGTATTGGACTTTGGTGCTGCTCTGGTGTGTTGGTTAAGAGGAGGAGATGCCACAAGCATCCTGGGCTGTGAGAGAGGCCAGTCCCCTTCCTGTTTGAAATATGCCAAGCATACTCAAGGAGCTCTGTGAGGAAAGCAAGAAAGGGCTGTTTTAAAGGGCAGTACTAGCCTAAAGGTAATTAAGACTTCTTTCCTTATTTAGCAGGATACACTCTTTAGTGTGCTGGAAGTGTTTGTAATTAGATGGTATCTGCTAGGAGAGCTTTAAAATCATCTTTGCTGTTTATTGGATTTGTGTATCTGTGGTCTCCATCTGCAAGACAACATGTATTTGGGGATTAGCAGATGGTGCCATGGTGGTACCGACAAGAGGGACTTCTTGTACCTCGTCTTTGCTTCATTAATGGTGGGATTTGTACAGTCTGTATGAAGTTGAGAGCATTTTTCAGGTGTTAGAGGGAGTTGAAGTGTTTTAGAAACTCAAACTGCCCCTCATTGTACTGGTGGTGATTTCTGAAGTGTACAAGTTTCAGGTTGTCAGTCTTGGAAAATAAGCCCTTGCTAACCATGTATTTCTGTTTTGCCATTGAGGATCAGCAACACCAAATTCTTTAGGGTGAAGTTTTTGTATATAAGATAACTGGATTTGTCTTCCTGTAAAAGAAGTAAATATATAGTAAATATACTATATATTGCAATAGCAGAAAATTCCATGTGTGTTAATTCTGCCATGGAAAATATATGTGTGTTTATACATAGATCTGTATGTACAGCCTCAATCTCTTCAGTTTTCAGTAACAAAAATAGCAACAAACTCTTTCCTTCCCTCAAGGCCAGCAGTAACCTTCTTGGTGATTTTCAGAGGAGTCTCTGCTCTGCAGACAGTACTGATTCCATCCCTATTCCCAGCATTACACTCCAAATGCTTCTGGGTTCCCTTGCCCTTCCCACGCTGCCTGCCAGCAGTGCCCTAGGAATTCTCTGGCTGTAAAGGAAATGGGACTTGTCAGCCCTGAGCACTCGTTCCCTGTGGAGACATAGGGGCTGCCTAATCCTCACTGCCACCCTCCAGCACCATGGCCAGTGGGAGATGGTTTGGGCTCGACTGACTTAGTTCATCTTTCACAGGTGTTTGATCCACATGATTTGTACACAGGAGATCAGTTCTCCAAGGTCCTGAGCACATTAACAGCTGTAAATAAAGCTACTGAAGGTAAGAAAAAAGGGATTCTTCTGTTGTCCTTTCAAACTATTTCTTGTGTGTATGCAGGGCCAGTTTTTAATTTTTGTTAATTTCTACTTTATGGTGATTTCTTGAGGTTTGTCAAATTGTGCTGCCAGCACTGATGGCTGATGGTGGATGGTGGGATTGACATTTCAGGCTTCTGCCAACTCTGGGTTAAAATGTGATGTTTCAGAGTTGCTGTGTGAACTCTGCAGAGCTCAATTATCACTTTTACACTGAGGGACCTCTGCTCAGTTTTGAGCATTAAGGGACATCCAAAGTAGGTCAGCATAAGAAATCCTCAAGATAAAGGAAAATGTGCCTTCCTAAATGCAAATATCAGATTTTAAAGAGTGTGTTCTAAAGCTGAAGAGAAAATCAGCTCCACTTGCATAATGCCTTTCCTGAATGTCAAAACAAATGTTGTTGCTAGTTGCTCAGTCAATTGTATTGATGTTTTTCTCTCTCCCCTCCTGGTTCAATGGAGTAGGCTCCTGGATCTGGGAATCAAGCTGGTGGCTTGTCCTGTGTCCCTGGGAGCAGGAGCAGGCCGCTGAAGCAAAACAAATCAGCTTATCCTGATTCCATCCCAGATATGTAGCTGTTTTCTACAGATTGCTTTAAAATGATAGCGTAGTCTGTGAAAGGAGAAGTTCAACAGGGGGGATGATAGCGCAGTGGTGCTCTGGAGAGGGGTGAGGGGACCAGGGTCCCTTTTCTGAGGTGATGAGAAGCATCAGGGTCTGCCTGGTGTTGGGAAGAGTTCACAGCCTCTTGTCATACAAGTGTATTAGGACAGACTCCTGCACACCCACCAAAATCCAGCACCAGGGGAAGAGTTCCATTTCCTTGTTGCAGGTTACATTTGAGATGTTTTAAAAGAGGAAATGTCAAAATGAAAACCTCCCACCCCCTATGATTTGTACACACACGTGTGTGTGTCTGTGTATAATGCTGCCCTGAAGAAATTCAGGTTCTGAGGCTGCTGTTCTGCAGGACTCAGCTCTGCTGATGGCTCACTCTGTAGAAGCTTGGGGAATTCAGCCTCAGCCTCCCAGCCTCTCCCAGACTCTCACCACTCAATTACCAACAGCACCCACTGACCCTGTGCAGAAGCTCTTGCAGTTCAGTGCGATGGGGGATATGAAATTTAGGTTAACTCGGGCAGGAGCAACCTCTGCAAATGCTGTTGTTATGATTGATATTTGCTTCATTATTCTAAAAGCAAAAGGAGAGAAAAACTCTCCTATCTCTGCCATTGCCTGTTGCTGGACTGGAGGGGTGTGATGTGGTGTGTGCTGACAAGGTGGCAGGGCTGCAATGCCATTTGCACATCTGTCCCCTTATTTACAGCCCCAACTCCATTCTTCCAGCCACTCACGTGCCAGCTCAGCCCAGGACAGGGCTTTGCTGGGGAATAGTTCCTGTCATATGTTACTGATGGGGCTATAGAAAAGCTAGGATCCTCTTGGTTTCATGGCAAACATCTGTTTGAACATATGCTTTCTGTGTTTAAACGTTAAAAAGCGCAATGCCTGCAATAAAATTAGCTGCTCATGCAGAGAGCACCCTTGGGAAAAGTACAGGGTAAAATAAATACACGTCTCAAACATTTACTTTTTGGTGGCTTGGCCAAATTCCTGAGGAGCACGAGCCTGTGTCCTACAAACTGCCACTGCAGATGGTCCAGTTTGTCTGATTTGCCAGAGGCCATGGGCTGAAGGGAACATCAGGATAAGCCTGGTACCAGCTACTGCAGCTGCAGCTGTTGCCAAGGCTCTGACATGCCTGCACATCCCACACCCGCAGCACTGCTGCATCCCAACACCCTGCTTGGAGGCAGAGGGAAGTAGGTGTCAGCTAAGGAAATGCTGTGGGAATGTATTTCTGAGCATCCATTTGAAGTCCAAATCCTTGTGTATTCATGGATCTTTTTATGCAAATAACTGGAGGCATCATTTGTAGTGGATAAACTTGTAGTTCAGCAGCTGTCCATCAAAACACAGCAATACAGAGCTTGATGCTTTTGTCTGCAAGAAAGGGCAGGGGAGGAAAACCAGCTGTGCTAGATCAGACAAGGCTCATCTGCCAAAAATAGTGTAGGAATGTGAGCAGAAAACCCAGCTATTTTAACCATAGTTTAAGCAACATATGGCAGCAGTGTTCCATGCTGGACCAGGCATAAAATAGGACACTGTCATGATGCAATATAAATGATACACTTCCCTGCCAAACTGTCTAAGGCAGTTTTACATTTGTTTCTAGGTTGCTGCAGATATTTATAAATAAGCTTTGGAAGATTGGGAGGGGCAGGGAGAATGATAAAATCAACAGTAATGGGGTAATTTCCATGGGACTGTGGCTGATGACTTGAATAAGCGAAGTCTGGACGCAGGATTTATGCCCTCCCTTTCAGAAGGAATCAGGGGAAGAATATCTCACACTGGCAGCCAGCCACACCCCTGGCCTGTGAGTCACCAAGAGCAGCCAAAACTGCTCCTGCTCAAATATCAGGATGCTTCAGAGGGAGAAACTCACTCTGTTGGCAAAGTGGGTTTTACATGGGGAGGGGTTTTGCTGTTGCTACAGCCCAGGAAGCTGGAAATTGACCCTGCAGTTGTCAGGCAACTGTGTAACGAGCAGGGCAAGAGAGAAAACTGACTCACTGACAGCACACAAGGTTTACCATGGATCTTGTCCTTGACTGGAGCATGGACTGGCTAGACTGATGTGTGAATATGGCATGGCTGGGCTTTCTAAGGCAGCAGCACTTGGAAGTCATAGTCACAGACCTGCTCCCCACTGTGCGAGGGGTAGGAGAGAGACACAGTCCCTTCCCCAAGACCTCACAGTTTGTGTTGTTTCAGGTCCAATCTAAGGATGAGGTGTTTTCCTATTGAAATAAAAACCCAGCTGAGTTCCTGTAACTCCTACCAAACTTCCCCTTCAGAATGAGTTTTCCATGCTTTCTATTCAGACTGGAAGAGAATGGAGGAAAAGCAGCCTTGGAGTTTGTCTTTTCCAATTTCTGCGCACATTTCATGGCTTTATCACCCTCTCCTCTTGCAGTGTTTTCAAGGCAGAACTCCAAACGTGGTCCAGGGACCTGCAAACCCAGCACAGGGAATCCTCCAGACTGCTCTGTTCTGCTTTTGAGGTCCATGGACATGCGAGGTCTCCACTGCAGGTGGAAAACTGCAGCTCTGAAATGCAGAAATGCCCTAAAATCTGAAGAGAAGATGCAAGACCAATCTTAAAAGTCCTTCACAGTTTACTGAAATGATAAGGTCTGCTGTTGTGTCTTTTGAGCACCATGGGACATAGAAAAGAGGTGATCTGAATGGTGTCCCACAGGGTGATGTGGGGTACAGTAGCAGTGAAGCACTGGGAATTACCGGGTGGCTTGAATCCCATGTTTTTACACCTCTGCAGCATCCAACAGGATTCTGGGGCTGAGTGCTGCCAGATCCTGCAGGAGCTGCTCTTAGCAACAATGCTACTGACTCAGTCCCTGCACAGTTAGGACCAGGAAACTTTTTACCCTCTGGCAATTTTCTCGCTATTTATATAGAAACAAATCACTAATTGTGAAAACAGATGTGTCAGAGCAGAAGCATTGCATCCAGCATCAGGTGGGGACAGAAACAAGCCTAGAGACTGGTTTGCAAAGCAAGGAGCTCTGAGCTCTGGAGGCAGCTCCAGGAGCTGCTGGGATGATCTGAGCCTTTCCATGGGCAGTTCATCTGGGGATGACACTCTTGTCCTTTCTCGGCATGGCTTGAATCCCTCTCTCACATGACTAATGGCAACAGTCCATGAACAGCAATCAAAATAGTGCCTAGCCTCTTTCAGCTGGATAATGAACCCAGAAGGACTCCTCTAAATAGAGGAGTGATTGTGTTCAGCATTCCTCCCCACTCAGTGGGATAGCCCACACTGCAGCTGCAGAGCTAAGAGCACTCACTGGAGAGCTAAACTTTGACACACCTTCAACAGTGCTTACTTGAATCCCAGAAACATTTCCAGTGGGAAATCACAGTACTGAGTACTATTCTACTTTTCTACGGTTTTAAGGGGTATTTAAAAGAAATACTGCAATTGGATGTATGGCTGCAAAGCTGGAGTGCCTTGGGATGCAATTCAACTTCTTCCATGAGGGAAGGGTTATACCAGCCCAGAAAACCACCCTCACTGCTGACTGGGAGTACCCACGCTGCAGATGCCATGCACTTGCTGTCTTGCTGTGATAGATGCTCTTTGAACAGCTGTGCCCTGTTCCTGTTTTCTTTACAGGCTTTACTCCTTGCTTTGCTGTGATGTGGAGGGATGCTGGACAGCTGGATAAAACTCTGACGTTGTTTTGTTTCCCCAGATCAGCTGTCAAAAGGGCCATGTTCACATCTGTCCTCTCTTAACTGCGTGGCTGGAGACCCCCCGAGTGAGTCGAGCGGCACAGCTTTCCAGGCAGCACGGCTGTTCCAGAGGCAGTCCAAGCCTGTGGTACCCTTTATTTAACGTGTAATCGTGGGTTTGATGGCCTTGGGGGTAGAGGAGTGTGATTGGTATCTCTGGGTCAAGACCCCTGATCTCCACCATGGGTTTGCTGTCTCAGTTGGAGAGAGTCCTGCAGCTTCTCCAAACTGCCGTGGTTCTCTGTGTGACATGAGAAGAGTGATTCTTATCGGCCACCCGTTGCACTGGGAGACCAAATTAATGCTTGGGAGGGACCTTGTGGTCCTCTGAAGGGAGTGTTTACGCAACAGCAAGATATTATTGGTTGTTATACAGAGCAATACAGAAAAAACAGCTGTCACAACAGAGAAGAACAATGGCTTGTCCCCGTGGTTTCTGCTTTTTTTTACTATTTACTGATGTTTTTCCTCATTTCTTTCCTTAGGAGATGACCGAGAATGGCAGTCATCAGCTGGTGGTAAAGGCCAGGTTCAATTTTAAGCAGACCAATGAAGATGAACTCTCTGTTAACAAAGGAGACATTATTTATGTCACCCGAGTTGAAGAAGGGGGCTGGTGGGAAGGCACCTTGAATGGAAAAACAGGCTGGTTCCCAAGCAACTACGTCAGAGAAATCAAATCTACCGGTAAGCAAATTGCTTTCAAGGGCTGATTGAATGACAGTGGCATAATGCAGTGAGGACCCTCGTGCCTTTGGGAAATTGCTGCTATTAATTAAGGACCGGTTGTGTACTTCAGGCAGCTGGGCTAATGGAAGGATGAACGGACGGGTAAAGTGCAGTGTTTCGGATGAATTTCTTGAGAGCTGCTTCACCCTCTTCCCAGCACATTGTGCCTTTCTCTTGCTCCCCCCAAGCCCCAGCAGCACGGAAGCAGGGATATTGTCAGAGGATGAGGGCAGAGGTGGATGTGGGTCCCCTTTGTCCTGGGGAGCCATCAGGTCATTCCAGTGTCTGAGCACAGAACTAGCTTTTTGTTAGAGACCTTGGTCAGGTAATGTATTTGTGTTTGATCCTGGCTTTTCAGGCATCAGTGGAATGGATGCTCATCATCACAGTGTGGAATCCGACAAAAACTGCATGGCCACAGGGCATGGTCCCTGTTTTGGTCCACAGTCATGGTTGATTTTACAGACTACGTTTTAACCCAGATGTTTCTGCTGCAATATTGTGAAAGGAAGAGAGAGGGAATGATCTGTCTATGACATCTGCCTTTATTGAGCTTTGTCTTGAGTGCCCTTAACATTTTCTACGATGTGTTTTTACGCAGATGTAGGGTGGTGATGATGTGAAGCCCCTGGCCAACTGCCCTGTGGCATTACACATCCATTCAAGCAGCTCACCCCCGCCCAGGCCTTTGTGTGAAATTAAACTGTTTTTTTGCAAAATGCAACTTAACTCCTTAGTGTGCCTTGAGGACTTACCATAGCCAGAGACCAGGTGTGTGCTTGGCGCTGGTTCTATGGCTCAGGACCTGCTCCGGCCTCAAACACTGAGATGCCAGCAGGGGTCTGTGAAGTGGCTGCACAATGTGCAGCCTCTGTTACACGTCCTTGCTTCTACTCTTGCAAAAATAAAGAAAAGGAGGGAAGAAAAAAATTTCATGATTTAGTGCTCAGAATTAGGTCAGTTTTTATTTAATTCTAAATGAAAAAAAAAATTGTTAGGATATCTCATCTCCCACTGTTTCCCTCTGGGAAATGATGTCTGAGCTGGAGTAGGAATTTGCAGCAGGGATTGAAGGCTTGCCTAGCACAATTTAGGAATCACTAATTACCTCAGTGAGGGGGGAGGAGAGCTGTTTTAAACAAAGGAGAGCAAACTTGAGTCCTATAGGAAAAATCAGAAGGGAGCTGCATGACATGACAGGGATATATCAAATGCAGAATGAGAACTGATTTCCAGAAGGATTTTGCATCACAAGTGACTGTGGAGATCAGGTCAGCATGTTGATTGGGGTTGGCTTAAAGTGCCTTGTGAATCACCTGGAAAAAAAAACCATAGTATCTGTCATTCCTGACAGACACCCAGTTTTAAAACCAAACTTAGTGGGACAGGTGAAGCAGAACTGTAGTTCCAAACATTGGCAGATACCAGACTGCTGCCAGGGATTTTGGAGCAAACCTGGACATCGATTGGCAGAGGCTGCACGAAGCTTCTGGTGTGACTTGCTTGGCCACTGTCAGTGTCGTGCATGCCACTGGTTTTCTCCTAGTTTTTTTGTGAAATGAGGGAAACAAACCCTGCAATTGAAGTTTTGTGGTCACAGGGGTAAAGTTACATTTGCTGGACATTGTGTGGCAGTCTCTTTTCCTGATGGAATAATGAGAGCTGTGCAATTTATTCTTTTTTTTTTTTTTTGTACAGATAAACCACTCTCACCCAAAGCATTAAAAGGGCTAGAAAACACTCAGCTGACAAAGAATTATTACCCTGCGGTAAGTTTTAAAGTGCTGATCACACATTTGAATAAGTACCATGTTATTAAACTTCTGAAGTGGCTCCTTCCCTTAAAAATTATTGAAGCAATTTGTAACAGTTGAGGATGTGACTCTGTGTTTAAATGCAGCTGTTGCCATTCCCTTGATTCAAGGCCATTGTGACAATAAACCACGAGTGGAAGTGGCTGAAAGATGTCAAAAGTAGAGACTTGAAGTAGACAACTGAGATAATTAGGGAGAGGTGTCAGCTGTCAGATCAATGCAGGGGGATAAGGCCCAGTATTTCCTGTTGATAAAGATGGGGAGACCATGTCATGGTATAAGCAAGCCAAAACAGGGCTCTGGCCCCTTTCTTGGGTTTGGCTGGAGATGTTACACCCCAAGGTGCCTGTCCCGTGCCACTGCCAGCAGCTGCAGCCCTCAGAGAACAGGCAGCTGCCACAGTTCATGGCCTGGCTTTGTAAATGGGCTTGGCTTTGGAGCAGGTTCACAGCCTGCCAGCCATGACTTGCTGCTGCAGAAGGGGTGGGGAACATCTCCTGCTTTACATATTGCTGCCAAAGTGAGGAAGTCTGGCAAAGCAGGGGCAGTTACCTTCCCCACTGTGTCCAGGCTGTGGTGTAAGAGAGTGAAGATGCCTCACATGAGCATCCCTGGCTCTCAGTGCTGGAGCTAAATCCTGCTCATCAGTATGTCTAAATATATTTCAAGCAAAGCAAATCAGAAGCAGTATGTCCAGGGAGCTAGAAACCACCTCCACTGTCTCCAGAGCTTATCCACACTGAGAAACTGGAGTGCTGACTGGGAGTGTGCAGGTACTGGGCTTGCCTGCTGTGCAGCCAGAGACAAACCAGCTGCTGAGATGGATTAGCAGGACCAAACCCAGGTCATTACATCCCTGAAATGGCAAATGAGATGTCCTCTGGCTTGATCTGCCACAGAAGCCATCCTTGGTGCAGCCTTTAATACCTGCTTTCCAGGCCTCCCTGAGTTTGCAAAGTAAAATCTCAATATTTGGCTACCAGGACTTTCCTGAATGTTCTGGGTTCTGCATTAAGAAATGGACTTAAAATACACTTCCATTCCTTTCCAGACTTGGAAGCTGATGTCATGTTCTTTTGACTAATTTGCTAGTACAAAGATCTTCTCAGTGCTCTGTCTCTCACCCTAGGTGTTGCAAAATATTCTGGAAACAGAACGAGATTATGCAAAGGAACTACAGTCACTTCTGGGAACTTACTTAAGACCCCTCCAGTCTTATGATAAGTAAGATATAAGGGCATCTGAGGTGGAGAGAACCTTGGGGGAACCTTGGGGTGTCATGGATGGAGGACACGGATTTAGACATTGTCCACTCAAGCAAGATGGGAGAGTGCCATTCTAAGGCCTCTGTATTTCAGTCACTTCTCCCCTCCCAAAATCTTCATCTGGGAAGTTTTTTTGTGCTCTCAGCCTTGTGGGCCTAAATGAGAGTGATATGAGAGTGACTCTTAGGATGACAGAAACAGGCACATTAGTTTTGGAAACATCCAACCTCACTCAAGGAACAGAGAAGCCCCTAGCTGTAGGACCCTCCTCCCACAGGGAAACCTATGGCATGAATCCCTGAAGACAAAACTCTCTGTCTGTGCACACTCCTCCCTCCCCACCTCTGGCTGAAATCCCATCTGGCCGTGTCTATTAGACAGCTAAAGATCTGAGAAGATTAGTGGGATTAAATTATTAAAATCCAATTAAGATAGTCCTTGGCAGCAGACGTCCTCTCCAGGAGACTGTGGTCTGTAGCTCACAGATCGTGAATTTTGCGTTCTGTCTGACGCAGTATCTGGGGAAGGAGAAATGTTTGTGTCTTTTTGGAAGGGCTGCTGACAAATAAAAAGGGGCGCTCCTGAGAGCAGCTTCTCTTTGATGGTGACTGGTGATGTGGCTCTCGTAGGCTCAGTGCCGGGGACATTGCGGCATTGCTGGGAAACATGGAAGAAATCTCTGCTTTTCAGCAAACACTGAACCAAGCCTTGGAAGAAGTTGCAAAGTAAGTTTGTGTCATAGCGATGAGGTTGTTAAGCTTTTCAGCTGTAGCTAAAAATAATAGAAAGACATGTTCATTAATGTTTCTCTTGGCTCCTGTCTTAGACTTGTTAAATATAGAAAAAAATAACAGGATGGAGGAAAGGTGGCAGGCAGTGCAGGAGGGAAAGTAGAAGGAACTCTGACATTGCTGGTATTAAGGCATCTGCTGAATGAGTGTCACTAGACCTGACACAAAAGTGTGCCTAACCCAAAGGTGCAGGCACATGCAGGGTGGGAGATCTGGCAGGCATGAAGATGGGAATTGCCAGGGAGCAAAGAGCAAATTATTAGAGGTGATAATTTCCTGCAGGGAAGCTGACAGACATGTTTAGCCTGAGCTAAGCGCTGAAAAGAGATGGGGAAGAACTGAATATTGAGAATATATTCAGGCCATGGCTTCTCCTTCTTTCTCTGTCTTTTCATATTCATGGGCAACCCAGAGAGTGGGACCCCCCCGTGCACTGCCCCTAATTCCAGCACCTCCTAGCTGTAGCTCTGCTGGTGAGACATTTCAGGTTGAGTCACAGGTTGTCTGAGGCTGATAATGGGTTGTGATGCTCACTGTCTGTACCGCAGGAACCCAGACCCACCTGAGGATCCCCCTCTTCTTCCTCCCCAGGTAGTAGGTATGGATATTTTGCTCAGTGCTGCAGTTACGAGGTGACATGGGAACGTCCCTGAGCAGAGGGTAGTTCCTGGGCAGGTCCCTGAGAGTGCTGTAGCTGCAGGGTGCAGATCCAGAGGCTTAGCGTGGCTGGTGTGTTGCTGTCTGTAGGCTCCCTGAGAACCAGCAGCGTGTGGGAGGCTGTTTCGTGAACCTGATGCCCCAGTTCCGCTCCCTGTACCTGACGTACTGTGCTAACCACCCTTCAGCAGTGAATGTCCTCACACAGCACAGGTGAGTGATGGAGAAGGAGATTCAGACTCCTTAAAAAAGTTAACTTTTGTTATTTATGTTTGGCCTGGAATGGCTATTGACCTATGTTTTGACAACTGGCCAAGGAGTTGCTGCTGGGGCTTTGGGCTTTTTCAGTGGGGCCTTTCAACTTCAACATGAAGACACTGCTCGTGTTCAGAGCTGATCTCACAGGTCCTTTTTGCACACACAGGACTTCCACCTTGGATCAAACACGCAGTCTCAGCTCTGGCTGTAGCATCTTCTGTGATTCTTACTTGCTAAAGGACCCAGATGCTCTTTCAGACCCACTGCTCAAGTGCTCACACACTGACAAATGGGAGGGTGTTCCCCTATGGCACCATGGTGGGGAGCACATCACTGCAGAAGGGGAATGGTCGTCTAGTCACCCAGTTACCCAGTTTATTAACTGAGCTTCTATTCAACCAAATGGTTGATTTTCAGGGTCACTGGTAGATCACATTAGTAACATCTTTCTTCAACGTGATCTGCATGAGTAGACACTTGAATTTGTGTGATGTCCTGCTCAAGAGTGTGCCAAGCCAAGATGCTACCACTGTATCATCCCTAATGCAGGTTAGCTGTCCTCCCTGCAATGATGGGAAAGCCAGGACTACATCCATAGTGTTTAAGTGTTCCCATTCTGCAATGGGAAGTCACAATATATTTACTTACCTGCTGAAATCCAGCTTTAGTTCAGTGTAACAACAAGCCTGGCTCCAGCAAATGACTCATTCATGTGATTTCTCAGTCTGACCCCTTTTTCTAAATCAACCAAAGAATCAGCTTTGGCAAATGTGCTGACACATGGAAGCCATGATCTCTGAAGCAATGTACATGCAAACACTTGCATCACAGCTTCCAGCAGGGTCCCAGTGAATTGCTGCAACCTCCTCTGTCCCCCGGATACCTGGACCTGTGCCACCTTGCTGGGCTGAGGGACCAGCTGCTGGCATCAATGTGCCCCAAGGACTGTGCATTCCAACACCTGTGGCCGCACAGCATCCTCTCCTGCTTTCCAGGGAAGAAGGGTCTTGCTTGGCTAGAAGCTCCTTGCCTGCTCCCTGGAACAGGTGGTGGGTGCTCAGAGGGGAGTTTGTGCTGCCTTTAGGGAGGCCCAGCTCGGAGCAGAGCCCTGACCATCAGGAGAGCATGGGAGGCAGCAAAACACAGCTCTCAGCTCTGAGAGCCCTCCTTCCTATCGTTGTTGTTGTCTCTTTTTTTAGTGATGAGCTGGAGAAGTTCATGGAGAGCCAGGGTGCGGCCAGCCCAGGCATTCTCATCCTGACCACAAGCCTCAGCAAACCCTTCCTGAGGCTGGATAAATACGTGACACTGCTGCAGGAGCTGGAGCGGCACATGGAGGTAGGTGGAGTGTGGGGCTGCTGGGCAGGCTCTGCCCCTTGATGCTGCCAGAGCTGGTCCCTGAGCTTCAAGAGACACCTTTGCCTCTTGGTATTTGAGCATCATGTGGCTAAAAGTACTTATCACATCTCCAGGGATCCCAGATGTCCCCCAGACATTACCCACCTTTCAGATTAAAAGTGAGATACTGGTGGAAGAGTTTGAGGAATGTCGTGGAAATGCATTGCCTGCTCTTCACCCCAGCCCTTCCTCAAAGATGGGCCATTTCCAGCACAAGTAAAAGCAGAGTCTAGGGTCGGGCTGCAGCTGCTGTTTATTTGCACAGCCGAGAATAAATCTGTGTTTTTGTTATGATTTGATGAGATTCCTAAGCCTAGCCTCACTCGAAGGCACATTCCCACCCGTTGCCCCAGGGTTGTGGTCCTGGGTGGAGGCCGAGCTGCACGGACAGACGTGGACCTGGCAGCCAGCACAGACACAGGGGTGGAGAGCGAGTCTCTAGGAGCAGGGACAGCTGCCAGGGGCACAGAGACTTCCTCGGCAAGAAACAGATCTGCTTCAGGACATTTCTTGCCCCAGGGACTGTGCTGTTGGAGCTCTGCTACTCACTGCTGGTGCACTCCAGCTGCAGGAAGGCAAAACTCAGGGGTGGTGCAAGGGGCTGGAGAAAACAGAAGTAAAAGTCTGTTTTTAAGCAAGTTTACTTTTTCCCCTCATCCAGTTTTAATTACCAGTTAATTCAGCACACTTATCCATGACCTACAATCAAGCCAAGGGATTAAAACCTCTATGCCGGAGACAGGGATATTCCTGCATAGGGGAGGGCATGAGAGCCTGCAGATTGGCACACTCCAGACCTACCTGTGCCCTCTCTCCTGGCTGAGCTGTGCTGCAGGGACTGAGCTGAGCCTGGCTGCAGCCACCATGCTCATGCAGGGGTAATGTGCTCTTTGCAGGATATGCATTGTGCTCTCTGCCTGCTCTTTGCAGGCGGTTCAGCAGTGGATTTGGGGACACACACATCACCTATTTTTCTTAGTTTCTAAGCTGAGTGTGGGAGTTTTGTTGCATGAATCAGCAGGGCTGAGGTTTAAGCTGTGATGCTGTGGGAAGAGGATGCCTGTGTGCAGTGTGGATGTGCACCACAGCATTCCTTGCACTGCTGCAGAGCTGCTGAGGGGGCAGGTGTGTTAGGGCAGCCACTCGTCCCACGTTCCAGATGAGCTCTCTCAGGCTGCAGGGACAGTTCCATCTCAATCTAGACGCCTTATGAGTTGCTTGGCTTGAGGACTTGGTGGTGAGGAGCAGGGCCGTAGATCCAGGAGAAAATTCTGGGAGGGTACTAGCATACAGCTGGGGTCAGAGATAAGGGGCACCATTCTGCTTTCACCTGGCCCAAGAGCTCTCTGTTCAGACACGCCCTCCCTTAATCTCAGAGGTGAAGCCCCCTTGGTGCTCATAGATTTCCACCCTTGATGGGGCAGTGGCTGGAATACCTTGCACATCAATGGAAGTTTCCTTCCTGAAGTTGCACCCTGCACCACTGCCAGTTTTTATTGATTTTTCTTTGCAAGTCAGATTTGTTCTAAGTCCAATCATTCCTCCTCTTGCTCTGGCCACTTCACACTCAATTAAATTGATATCAGTGAATTGCATAGCTACCTTTAGCCCTGCCATGTTGAAGTGGATGGTGGGGAAGGTACCTGGGGAACTCTGACCTCCTCCTGACGCCCATGCTGCCTATATCCTCAGCCCTGGGTGTACTGGGACAGTGGGTGATGCTCGGGGTGGGTTGATGCTCGGGGTGGGTGCTGGTGCTGCTGCTGATGGCTGAGGAATTTGCTCTCCCTTCACTAGGAGGCGCATGCAGATCATGAAGATGTTTTGAAAGCAGTCACATCCTTCAAGTCCCTTGTGGTAGGTGGCAATTCTTAAAATAGAGCACTCCATTTCAAGTCTGCATTTCATGAAGAATGAGTCAAGCCTGACATTCGTCTCCTCATTAGGAAAAAAGGTCTTTCGGAATGGAAAAGATGGGTTACAAAGAAACCTAATTCCACATTTCAAGCCTAGAGCTGCTCCTCTGGCTGCAGCAAGTGCATGCTGGCTCTATGGTCCCAGAGAAGAGATGGTGATTCTCCAAGTTTCTCCTCTATCGCTGAAAGCCAAGTGTGGGCCGTGTTGGCAGCAGGGTCCCTTTCATCTCCTGTTGCCTCCATTCCCTAATCATTTGTCATCTGAAACTAGACCCCTTGTTCACTGAGGGAGAGGTTAGCACAGCTGTGACTGACCTAAGTGCTGGTGCCAATGGGAAGTTCCCCTCTGAGACCATGGAGTAATTCTTCGTTTTGCTGGAATTTGCTCCACAGGCATCAGGAGGCTTGGACCACATTCCAGTAATTTTGGCTCCAGGTGCCATGGCCATTGGTGGGGAGCAGAGAGAAGGGCTGAGTCAGAGATAACAAACCTATTTCTGTGAACTCTGTCACCTGCACCCCTCAAAGTCCTGCTGCACTGAGATGAAATAGAGGGGGGAAAGCCATCCATGTGCATAAAGGTTTTACCTGGAAAAGCTTTTTCCAGCTATTAAAAAAGCTCTAGTCTCTCTTGCTTTGTAGCCACAGAGAACCTTTCACTATAACCACTCCAGATATGGTCCAGCTTCCTTCCTTTAGCACACGTTTGTGACAGATGCAAGTGTTTAGCAGTGCAGATAAAAGATGGGGAGGAGAAAGTTCATAGAAAACAGGAAAGGGCGATCATGTTACATTTACTTAGAAACACAGCACCCTTTCCATTTATTCTGGAAGTGAATAGGGGAGTAACTCATTTAGATTACAAGGTGTCATTAATCTTTAGGAAATCTCGTAAGTGCTGGATGGTTTTACTTGAAATGTGTACTTGAGTGATGAGTAATTTAATGTCATTATGACACAACTAAAGAGGTTCAGTGTGGATTTGAGGTTAGACAGGCAGAAGTGCCTCTTGTGATGGGCATGTGGTCCTTTTACAGGACCAGGAAGGCTCCTGTGCATTATATTTGGATTTTTAACCTCAGAACATTGGATTCGGACACTTGGGGAGCCCTCAAAACATACAACAGTTGTAGAACCAGAGTAAACCACCACAAGTTCAAGTTCAAGTGTGTGTGTGTGGTTTCAAACTAGACCCAATGCAGCCTCTCTGAAGAGCTGGATAGTCAATGAATTGGAAAGGAGGAAAATCTCTGTCAGAAAAACAGGTTTGGAAAAAAACAAGCCGTTGGTGAAAACAGCCTTTATTTGGCTTTGCAGCAATTTTCCCTGTTGGCAGAGGGGTCAGTTAAAGAAAGTATTGCTTGGATTTGCAGGACTCTTTGTTCAGTCAGCATTGTCCTCTCTTGCTGGGAGCTGATGAGAGACTGGTCACTCCCTGGAGCTTCTCCAGTCCCCAGCTGCCCAGCAGTGGTGCAAGCTTTTCAATTACAGCACTTTGAGAAGGATCTTTTCTGTGCTCATCTACAGCACCGCCCAGTCCTGCTTTTGAGCTCCCAGATTTTGATTAGAAAATATCCACCCATCTGACTTGTGGGAACTCTGTAGTGCTACAAGTTCAACTCTGCTGTTTGGACAAAATGGGCAAAATCCCTCTAAGCAGTAGCAAAATTAGAGACCTTTAACTGTGCAGCTATCTTGGTTTGGAAATTGTGACCCTGAACTCTCAGAGGTCGGGCTGGTTTGGAAAGAAAAGTTTGCTCAGTGCAGTTTGCAATTTCCTTGACATTTGAATGTAATCATTACTTCATAAATCACTAGGATGTGATTTTTTTAACAGACTTTTTGTGATGGAACCAAAGCAGGCTTTCATGATCCCTGACATGACCATCCCAGAGCCCACAGGGCTGTAAAAGTGTTGCTGGTGAAACAGGGATGGTTTGGGTTGGCTCCTGCCCTCCAGCTAACACAGCTCTGCTGTGATTCCCAGTCGCAATGCCAGGAGCTGAGGAAGAGGAAACAACTTGAGCTGCAAATCCTTTCTGAATCTATCCAGCGCTGGGAAGGAGAGGACATAAAAATGATGGGAAATGTCATCTACATGTCCCAGGTTATGGTGCAGTCTGGGGGAAGTGAGGTGAGTGTGGTGTTCCTTCTGCTGGCGAAAGACCATGTGTCTGAATATCTGCTTGCTCCTGGGTGGCTTCTCTCCTTCCAGGCCACAAACTGATGACAAATAACGCTGATAAATTATTTTACCTTGGGAGGAGCTGTTCAATGGGAGTGCACGTCTTTGGAGTGAGTCAGGCACCCGGTAGGCTTAGCTTCAGGCCTTTGGTGACACTTTTCAAGATAAGAAGCATCTCAGTGTCATATAGCACATTCATTTCCCTCTTTCTCCCCTGTGACTTACTCTGAGAAATGAGAGTGACAAGAAAATGTCCTTTGTGCAGCACAGGGGCTGCTTTGATGCCGCACCCCAGAGCTGACTGTGTTTTGAAACTATCTGGAGTGATTCTTGTCCTACTGGTCCTAATGCATTGCACCAGTGCCTGACACAGACCTTTCCCAGTGGGGCTAAAGCCATGTGTGCTGCATTCTCAGTGTGGGAAAGTACCCGTAAGCACTGAATTTCTTGCTGTACCAATTTTTCCCTGGGAAGGGAAGGCGTGTAAAACAAACCTGTGCCGCATCTAGTCCCAAAAATCTTTCTTGTTTGAGATGTGGGATGCTGGGGGACATAAGGCCTTCTGAGGCACTTTGCAATGATTGGAAGAGGATTAGCAGGATGCAGACAAAAATCTGTGCAGGGAAAACTGGTACATAAATGAGATGCTGTAAAGGAAAAAAACCAAAAACTAAATAGTTGGTTTGAGGGTGGTCTCACAGGCTGTGATTCCAGCTACAACGGGTTCAGTTTGCTAGAGGCAGGTGCTTGTGATGCACTGCAGACTGGACTAACCTAAATTCTTATCCCCCCAGGAGAAAGAGGAGCGGTATTTCTTGTTATTTTCCAATGTTTTGCTGATGCTGTCTGCAAGCCCACGGATGAGTGGATTCATCTATCAGGTAGGCATGCTTAGTTTGGAGTTGCAAGGTATTTGGTGTAAAGAAAGCAAAACAGATAGTTCTTATCAAATTCAAGTCCTCTACATCCTTCAAACTCTCTGTTGTGATGCAAATACCCCAGGCTGGGGACCAGGGCTTGGCTTTACGTATGCTAGGAAAGTCAATGCCTTTGTCCTGATCATTGGTTAAGCAGCATTTGGTAAGTGAATGCTGTGAAATTAAAAGAAAAAAAGGAAAAACCTCAAAACCTGTTGTTCTACCTGCTGTTCTTGAGATTTGGTGTGTTGGTAAGGTGTCCTGACCCAGCTTTAGGGTTTTGACCAGGCACCTGGCTCTCAGTTTTGTGCCCTCTCTGGAAAATACTTACAAAGCTCACTGCAAAGAGCATGAAAATTCCACTCCGTGACGTACTACATGTAACTCTACATTTCTTGTGTTTCACCATTTTCCATACCATCCAATGGCTGTTGAGAGCTTGGCTTTTCTCCAGCTGTCTGAAGCAATCAATACTGCCAGGAAAAGGATGCTCTTGTTTTGATGTGTCATTTGTCATAACAAGGGAGATGAGAAAGATTTGGGAAACATTTAGCTGGGTTTTCTGACTTGACCCACTGGTGGGAGTAAGGTGAGCAGGCAGTTCAGCATGCAAATTAGAGGAATGGGGAAGGCTTTCAGAAAAAGCCAGGGGAAATCGATCCTTCTGACTTGACTGTAAAAAAGGTTTGCACTGAATGAAGGGAAAGGGCGGCAGATGAGCCAGGGATGACTCAGTTGTCATGGGAGCTTCATCTCCAGGGTTTGACCTAGTTGTGCAGGGAAATCTAGATCCATACATTAAAGAAGACTCTTCATGCAGTCTGAAGCCTTCACAAATTAATTTCAAATGGCGATTTCCAAAGAGAAGGGAATCAGCAGAAACAGGCAGAACAACACCTGCAGACACTGACTGCTCTTCAATTCTCCCAGGGAAAGCTGCCTCTGACAGGAATGACACTGACAAAGCTGGAAGATGCCGAAGGGAATGAGCACATGTTTGAAATCACAGGTCAGTGGGGCCCTCTGCCTGGGGCAGTCCTTCCAGTGCAAACAACATTTGCCACTGGAAGTACTGATCCTCCTTCCCCTAACCCCCCACCATGATCTTCCTCCTGTTCTTTTACCATGCGTTGTCTGAGTTTCTGAGCACTTCTGTCCTGCTTGAGGCAATCTCCTCCAGCTGCCCTGGAGCTGTGCCTCTGGCTGCCTTCGGAGACTGTAGTGTTTTGTATGGGACAAATCTCTTGCTGCAGTGGCACTGTTCTGCACTGATGTGCCCTGTCTGCATCCAGTAGCCATTCCTTGTAGCTCTGAGTACGTAATTTATTGACAGATTAATGGTTCTGGTCATGAGGGAGCTTTCATCCCATTTTCTTCTTCAGTTTATCTCATTACTTGTCAGTATACACAATCATTTCATGCTCAGTGCCTGGGCTGCAGTGCAGCTGTTTGTGCTGGCAGTATTTGGTGTCAGGATCCTGTTAATCATGGAAATGTTGTGTTTAATGACCTTCAACATTAAATAATCCTCACACATACATCTCACAGTTCCCATAGCATTTCCTGCAGCTCCCACACTGTCAGTGATTGCCCAGAGCAGGTTGGGCAACATCATCATTGTACATAAGGTGCTTAGAGACATGGTTTAGTGGTGCACCTTGCAGTGCTGGGTTAATGGTTGGACTTGACGATCTTAGATGTCTTTTCCAACCTTAATGATTCCATGATTCTGTTTCTATCTCTTTGCCCTGGCCTTTTTGGAGCCATTGGACTGTGCAAACTGAGGAGCCATTTCCTGCTGTGCTGAGCTGATCTCACTCTGTGTTTCCTCCTGAGTCTCTACCACCTGCTAAAGACAATTACTTAACCCTCTGCCACAGGGAACGTGATGGAGCGGATCACTGTGTACTGCAGCAGCAGCCAGGACTTGCATGAATGGCTTGACCACTTGCAAAGGCTCACCAAAGGGACTTGCAGCACCATCTCCAAAACACAGTCCTGGAGCCCTCACTCGGTAAGTGTCACCTCCTGGCCTCTGCTTCCTGAGCTCTCTGTTTCAGGGGTGCCCTGACACTGAGGTAACATGACAGCTCTAAGACACATCCTGCAGTTTGCTTTGTAACCGTGTTGTACTTGTACCATTTTACTTGTATCCTGCCCTATTTTTGTTGCAACTTAGATGTCTCAGTGTCTCGAGGCTTGTCCATCCCCCTCCACTTCTCTGCCTTGTTTGGTGGTTAACAGTCTTGGTTTTCTTCTCATCTATTTTCTCAGACATTTAGTTCAGCTGGGCAGATCCGTGGGCCTCTGGAACCCCCCAAAATCCTCAAGCCCTGGAGCTTGAGCTGCCTCCGTCCTGCTCCTCCACTCAGACCATCAGCAGCACTGAGTTACAAAGAGGTAATAATCCCACCTGACTGTCCGGGACCCTGATTTCACACAATCCCTACACCTTGTGTCCAGGTTTCATATCCCACAGCAAGGCCATAGAAATGTAGGTTCTTGAGGATGCTGAGAGAAATGACTCTGCCAGTTTGGCCCCAGTTCCACGATGGATGTTGGTCACTGTGCTGGGCTTTGTGCTACGCTGCACTCATGAGTACAGGTGTTTGCAGGCTGGATCTGAGCTGTGGGCAGGGGCTGTTCTGCTCCCTGCTGGAATGTGTTCCAGCTCCAGCTGTAGCAGCAGCTCAGTGGTACAGGTTTGAGAAACAATATGCACTATGAGGAAGAGGCAAAATTCCTGACCATGTTTTTTGTGTCTCCCACCCTGTTTTGGTGGCTGTAGCAGGATGTCAGGCTTGACCCTCCTTTGCCACCCAGCTGAGTGTTACACAGCAAGGTCCTGCTGGGAGGCAGCAGCTGAGGGATGGCTTCACCTGCAGGAATCCCAGCCTAGGAGCTGGGAGTTAGTGTGGGAAAACCCAAAATAAAGCCTAGCTCTGTTGTCACCCTGCACCACAACTGTAGTGCTCTCTTTCCCTACCTTACATTAAATTTTTGGAATTACTCATCAGTACCTCAAGTAACGTTCCCCTTATCGAGTGAGCACTCTGGATCTGAGTCAGCTGCCTTTCTTGGTACAGCAGCCCTGCGTGTGTTTCTGCCCCAGTGGGGATGGGGACAGGGAGGGGGCTTGGACCCCCTCAGCCATCCCAGCACTAAGGGATGGAGAGTCTGGCAGCTGGCAGAACTGTGGGTCTGCTGCTCCAGTAGAGATTTAAAGTAGCCTCCTTGCATCTTGTTGCATTTGTTTCGTAGAATTGTAAAGTAATACGTTTCAGTTTGGGAATTAAATTGTTCAAATACCAACCGAGCAGACTGAAAATTACCCATAATCTTTGCATGTTCTAAATTCCTAATGGAGGTTAAACCATTTTTTGCTTGTGTGGTGAATTAAAAATATAGGTAGAGGCTTGAGGTAGGAGAGAAATTTTTCTGTGGGAAAAACCACAGATTGAGTGATATCATTAATACCATGGTCCTCTGCAGTTTCTTGTCCCGTGCCACTCGTAGCAAGAATTAAATTCTGGTTGCAACTACGGGAGAGGTTTTTGCACAGAGGCCTAGCCCACAGCGAGTCCCAGGGGATAGGATGCTGGATGATATCCTGCAAGGTGTCATAGGACCAAAAATGTGGCTTCCATGGGAACAAGCTGTGCTGATCTTGTCAGTAGAAACCCAAAGGCCAACATATTCAGCAGAGTTGGGCAGGCACAGCCTGGTATTCAGTCAGTCCAGCCTGAGCCTGGGGAGAGACTCATGCACACAAGCCTGCGATGACAGACGGGAAATAAGTTTGGTTGTTGGCCCAAGCAGATGCACATCTGTCTCATCTCTCCCTCTGGGATGCTTAATCACTAAATAGAATCACTATTTCACTGTATTTTAGGTTTTGTAATTTAAAGTAAAGCACAAAATAAACAATGCTGACAGCTCCATGCAAGTACCTTCCTATAATGAAGATATAATGAAGGAATACAAATTTCAAAGGTTACTTGCAGGGAAGTGAGTGGGTTTGTGGGTTACTTTGCAGGGAAGTGAATTTGATTATAAGAGTAGAGATTCTTAGACATCCAGTGTCACTTGTCTTCTCATAGTGTAGGACGGGATGGCACAGTCTTGTACACTTCCTTGTACCCAGCTGTGCTGAGGAAACCTCAGACCCGCTTGTGTACAGCACCTCACTCTTGTTATTTCCATTGAAATTGGGTCATTTTTCCTGTTCTGTTTCCAGTAATCATTTGAAATGACAGAACAGGTAAGTTCTGTGGGTAAAGTGCCGTGTCTGGATTCAGTTTAGCAAAGGGGAAAAGATTTACAGATTGTTTCTTCTACTACTTTTTTTTTTTAACTGGCTGCTTTGCATTTGGTGAAGGCTTTATAACGTCAGGGTTCAGGACTTTGCTGGGCAGACCTGCAGGAGAGCCTAGTGGCTCCCTGGATCAAGCATCCCAGGGATGGGATCCAGGGATGTAATCCTTCACAAGATATGCAGGGGACTCCCTGTCCCTGCCAGTGGAGCAGCGAGGGGTTGCAGTGCTGATGCCTGACATGGCCAGGTCTTCAGCGAGGGTGGAAGGTCCCCTTCGAGCAGATGGAGTCCTAGGAGATTGTCACCAGGGTGGACAGAGCATCCTGGCATCCTGACTAGGCTGGGTTGAGGCCCTTGGGACTGGTGTTGAGCGCTCCCGGGGGCTGGGATGGAGCCAGGCACATGGGGCTCCTGCAGTTGCAAGCGCCAGTTTAGGCAGCCACCAGCCACAGACACCCACCACTACCCGAGGAGGCATGTTCTTTGTGTGTTTAGAGTGTATTAATGCCCACTCACCCAGAGTCTCACATGTAAATTTTCAGTTTTGCATGATATAGTGCTCCTTTGCATGTTGATAGTGCTTTAAAACTAGTACAGAGGGTGTGCTGGATTAATCGCAAGACTAACATTGAAACGTGGTTTAGAATTGTGGATTTAATGGACTTGATGATAAAAATCATCTTCTCTTTCTTTGCATATTCATTGTAGAGGCTGTCTTATATCTTAAAGGTAAGGGTAGATACATCTCTTTGGCTTGTCGTGGCACAGAATNCTCATCTTCTCTTTCTTTGCATATTCATTGTAGAGGCTGTCTTATATCTTAAAGGTAAGGGTAGATACATCTCTTTGGCTTGTCGTGGCACAGAATACTTGTTCCTGTTAATGCTTCTTGTGCTTGCATGACCCTAATTTTCCTCGTTTTATCAGTAAGTTATTGTCAGAGTCAGTAGCAACTGGCAAATATATTTTGAGATAACTCTCAGAAAGTATTTAGTGTTATGGTACTTAAACCTCCTGGCATGCCTCTTCTCCTTTAAATCCTTATTGCATGTAACCTACTAATACACTAATTCTCTCCAAATCAGCAAGACTTTTAACTGAGTGAAGGAGATAAAAACCTGTGTTTCTTACTCATGGAGTCATATCAAACACTAACTTTGTGTGTGTGTTTGTCTGTTCTCTGTATATGTGTGTGTGAGGTTTATACAGTCAAATTGTGGGCATTTAGAAGCAGAGCTATTTGCCAACTCTTTAATATTAGAAATCAAGTCAATGGAATAAACCACATTATAGGGTTTTCTAGCACAGACCACAGAGCTGTAAGCAGACTAAAAGTGCTATGAATGTTTTTTAATTCTTTGGCTGAAGGATTTTAGAGAATAATTGAATTTACTAGAGGAGCATATCCTGGCCCAAACCTGCAGGTGCAATTCCCACTGCTGTTCCAGGGAGCAGTGGGTCACAACTGGTACATATGAAGGGCAAAAACTATCATTTTCCCCAACTTTGTCATTGTCTGCTTTGTAGCTCTCTAATGTGTTGTGTGTAGCATGGGTAGCTGCACCCAGCTGTGCTGCTCCACTGTTCCAGTTGCCTTTGGTTCTGGTTAAACACAAGAGTCTATTTCTCTGTAGGATTGCAGCAAAAGTCCAAAAACAATGAAGAAGTTTCTTCCAAAAAGGAAAACTGAGAGAAAACCATCTGATGAAGAGTTTGTTATTCGGAAAAGTAAGTGTTGCTCAGAGATGCTTTGGCTGCCCCTGGATCCCTGGAAGTGTTCAAGGCCACATTGGCTGGGGCTTGAAGCAACCTGCTCTAGTGGAGGGTGTCCCTGCCCATGGTGGAGATTTGGACTAGATGATCTTTAACCCCAACCATTCCGTGATTCTGTTTTTCTTTAATTTCTGGAGATTTCTGTGTTCTTAGTGATCTCCACTGGACTTTGGAAACATGCTTTCTTGTAGTGCAGGATGTGGCAGGATGCTCTCACTGTGAGCCTACGTGCCTCTGAGCACGGGAGACTTCTGGAAGTGCACTGGTCCTCAGCCTCTGACAGATCCCTCCTCCCCTCCCAGTTATGACTGCCAGACATTCCACCACCCTCCTCATGATTGCTAGCACAAGGTCGTGGATTGTGGGTGGTCTTATTCTGGGTACGAAGCCAAGGAGCTATTTCCAAGTAGTTAAAAACTGCATTAAACAGCACATCAAGAGTCACCAAAGTATTTCTGACAGCTGGGGCAGAACCTTACCCAGCCATGCCAGCAGGTCCTAGAACAGTGTCCATGAGGAATTAGGAAACAAGAAGGTCCCCATGCCAATAGGGGTGTTCACCTGCAAAGAGGGGTTTCCTGAGAGCTCCCTAAAGCCCACCTGAGGCACACCTTGGGGGCTTTACACAAAAGGCCGTGGTCACCCAGCCGTGGTCAAGCTGTTTTGCACAGCTCCTCCCTTAGCTCTCTCCCTTGAGAAGATGGCACTGAGCAGAGGCTGGAAATTAACACTTCATGTTTCCAAGTCCTGCTCTGGTGCTGCTGCACCAGACCTCCCACACTAGGGCTGCTTTGCCTGCCCCGTCTCCTGGTGCTGCCTGCACCCCAAGTAGGGCATCCCCCCGTGAGTTTTGCCAAGATGAGCATCTAGAGATCACACCATTTGGTCATGGTGCTTGATGCCACAAAGGCTAGAAAATATAAAGGACCTCAAAACAGATTGGCCAGAGACAGTTAACCAAAGAAATAGCATGGTCGTTTAAGGGGCTTGGGAGCAAAGACTGGGACCTTGCTTTTTGTGCCTGCTGTTGTTTGCAATGCTTTACAGGTACTGCTGCGCTGGAGGAGGATGCTCAGATCCTGAGGGTGATTGAAGCATACTGTACTGGGGCAGGCTTCCAGCAAGCTCTCAGCTCAGGTGGGCACAGAACCACATTATTTAGCTCCTACTCTGCCCACAGCACTGATAACCCTTTGGGAAAAACAGATGTTGCATCATACAGCAACGAGACTCATGCTGGGAAACCGTAGTGTTTAATCTTCAAGATAAGGAAGCTTCATCTGCCTAGTGGTTTAGTTGCCATTGTTTTTCCTCTAAACACAGAGAATGAAGCAGGTAGGAGGGCAGATGAGACACTGCTATTTCACCAGTGATTACCTGATGATAATCTCAGGTTGCTTATAGCTTTAGAAAGGAAGCATGAATATTATCTCTCAATCAGCTGCATGTTTAAGAGCAACCTGCTTCATAAGAACCTATCTAACATCTACGACTCTGGAAATATAACTATTTATCATTGCTGGTGAGATGTCAGCCAATTAAATCACTGAACTGTCAAATAATGGTGCGTAGAAAAAAGGGAGGCCATGGTTCTTTTGGGGAGCTCTTGACCCTTGTCGAATGGTTTCATTTATAAGCCATGATGTAACTTTAGATGCTTTAGTACTCTTGAAAATTTTCCACTTCCTGCTCTAGCTCTGGGTTAGTGGGATGTAGTTGGCATCTCCAGCCTGCCCCGGGCTGATGGTGGAGCAGAAAGAATGAGAGCTTCTGTCTCTGATGTTGCATGGACACCAGGAAAGATTGCCACCTTTTCTCCCTCATGAATAATTCTTGCACACAGGCTCTCGTAAAGACTCCATCCCTCAAGTCCTTCTTCCTGAGGAAGAGAAAATCATCATAGAGGAAACACAAAGCAATGGCCAGACAGTCACGGAGGAAAAGTAAGTGCAGCTGCTCTCCACTTGCAGATAGATCCCTGTGTTACTTTTTGGAAGGGCATTAAAAACCAATGCCCTCTCCTTCTGTGTCTCCACAGAGGGAACAGGCCTGGTGTCATTGACTGCTGCCTTGGTTCTGGCAAAGAACCACCAGACAATTTCAACTGCTATTTTGTCCCTTTTAAGGACAGAGCTGCCTTCCTAGCTCCCCTGACGTGGCTGTATCCCTCTGGGAGCCTGGATCCCTGGTTTATGGCTTATCCTGATGTAGGATAATGGGGTCAGTGAGGACAGAACCAAACAAATGGCTCTGATTTTTTTTAACTACTACTGATGTACTGGGCTGTTGCTGTCCCTCAGGAGCCTGCCTGGCACCCAGGCACTGAATGCTCCCAGCCTCTTCTGTAACTTCTGCATCTGGGTGACTGTGTTGAGCCTCTCCCTTTCCAACCCAGTCAGTGTGTTCCTTTCACATTTGATGTTTTGCAGCACAACCTCAAGGAATCAAGACTGCTTTACAAAAGATGCTCAGGCATTTCCACCTTTAAAGTCATTATTATTTATTGCCATTGCATAACAAGGGAAGCCAAAGCCACAGACCTTTGCTGATAACTCAAAGCAGTGCAAGGTATTGAAGTTTGAGAAAAGAGCCCTGAGTTTTGGACCAGTGGCCTATAAATGCTCCTGGGCTGCGTTTCCAGAGTCCCCTCACAGGCAGCAGCCTGATGCTCGGGAAGCAGAATCTAGATGCAACTTTCCTGTCAGCACCTCTCATGCTGTCACTGTTTTCCTGCACACCAACTCTAATTTATTTGTCTTTAATTTATTTTTTCAGAAGCCTTGTTGACACAGTTTATGCACTGAAAGATGAAGTCAAAGAGCTGAAGCAGGTAATTTGGGTGGGATTGCTTGTGCTGGGAGTTGAGTGAAAGCCAACCAATCTGTACTGGATCATCTTCAGCTGGTCAGTGCCAAGAAAAGTCTTGCTGATCCTGGTCCAAATTCCTGCATAAGCATTAGTTTTCTTCTGGTTTACCTCCCTGAATCACAGAATCATAGAATCTTTAAGGCTGGAAAAGACCTCTGAGATCATGGAGTCCAACCGTCAACCCAGCACCACCACTATGTTCACCACTAAAGCATGTCCTGAAGTGCCATACCCACACATTCTGGGAACATTCCCAGGAACGATGACTCCACCACTTCCCTAGACAGACTGTTCCAGTGTTTGACAGCCCTTTCTGTGAAGAAACTTTTCCTAATGTCCAACTTCAACCTTCCCTGGTGCAGTTGGAGACCACCTTCTCTCATCCGCTGTGCTTGAGTGCCAGAGAAAGCAAGAGGGAAGGAGTAGTTGGTCTTTGTGGTAACATGAAACTTCCCCCTATTCCAAAAGGTCTTTCAGCTTGACCGCTCATTTTACAGGGGTCTGGTGGCCACCTGTTCATGTAGACTCAGAGGAAATAAGTCCTCTTCCCTCCAGTCTCAAGGCTGGAGGTGGGAGAAACCATCAGAGGATAAAAGGGTTCTTCAACCCTAGCTGAAATTATGTCTCCAGGAGGATGTTTCTGCCTGCCCAAAGTCAGGGAACTTCTGTGCAGGTCTGTGATGTAGTAAGGGTCTGTTTGGGTTACTCGTGGATTGATCTACTTATGTTCTTCATCCTCGCGAGGCCTTATCAAATGTCTCTGTTATTTCATCACCTCTGAGGCATCAGGCAGCAGATGCATGAAAGCCCCTCACTGCATAAAGTGCATGGGCATTAACTGCATCTTTATTCCTTTGTTTTTCACCTTGCAGGAAAACAAAAGGATGAAACAGTGTTTGGAGGAAGAGCTTAAATCCAGGAAGGACTTGGAGAAGCTGGTGAGAAGGCTGCTGAAGCAGACAGATGAGTGTGGCAGGGAGGACGTAGGGCGCAAATCATCCCTGATCGCCTAAATTCATGGAGAAGCTGCTGGCAGTGGTGTGTGACCTCAGGTGTATTTTTGGGAAGTGGAACTGGATCCTTTGCCTCTTCTTGCTCCTTATTTTGTTGGTTAGGGGTATTTTGTTACCAAAAAAAGAGAGAAAAAAAAAAAGAGAAAAAGAAAAAATTGGTTTTCTTCCATCCAGTAAGGAAATAAAGCAGAAACAATCAATCACAACTGAACCAGTAAGCAAGTGGTCCATGATTCACAATTCATCTGCAGCAAATAATACCTCATTGTACCTGCTACTGGGAGCAAATACAAACTCTGCTGGTGATTGTTGCTCACAAAAGCTTGGTCAGCAGTTTCCTAGAAGAAGCTTAAGCACTTTTTAATGCTTTCATTCTTTCCAAAAGCACTAGTACCTATTTATTGAATGAAAACATTACTGAGGTGGCATTGAGCAGAAACCAAAAAAGCACCATGCTTCTCTTTTCAGATAGTCACAACTGGGGAAGCTTTTCCCATCCATCATCTTTTTCCTTATTAGTTGACTGTAGCGAATTTGAGCCCAGCAATACTGTGGTTCCTGTGGCCTTGATACTGATTAAAATGTGCAATTAACATGAAGGCGTTTAAACTCCTTGGGGAAGCTAGATCTGGAGCACCTGTCAGAGTGCATAGGAAAGTAATTTGCACAGTGCTGCCTCCTTACAGCTTGTGATTAGCACAACAGGTAACTGCTGTTCTGCCCCCCATCCCTCTTATGCATGATGTAGAATTCCTCCCCCTGCTTTGTTTTCACATCAAGTGTCCAGGTATTCTAGGAGATTATAATTTTGCTGTGCTTCCTCTTGCAGGACGTGCTTTTCTCCATATGAAATGTAAACACTGCTTGACAACAAAAAGCAACCCCAAATGTGCTGGTCCCCTGCTCCCTTCTGCCCACTTTATGCTCTCCATCACTTCTTCCCAAAGGTTGGCAGTGTAGCCAGTGGCCACTTCTCCCCACACTGCCCCACAGGGGTTTTCTGCTAGGGAAAAGGAACTTTCTCTTGAGATAGGGAAGGTATTTATGCTTTGACAAGAGCTGGAACGCTCCTGGGGCAAGGATGTGCGACACCCTCACAGATCCCTGCACAGCTCCTCCAGCACAGCACACAGGCAACATGCATATGTATCAGCTCTCCTTATCTTATTTGGTGTTATAGTTTAGAACCGAAGTTTTCCTTTATTCCTTCCTTAACAGCATTATAAAAATAACCTTCTGTTGAAGTTAATGATGTCTTATTTATCTCACAGGGCAGCATGGTCCCAGGGTGTGCAGAGGCATCACAGTTCATTACAGTCACACCGTTATGTTGGTTGTGAAGGACATAACAGAGGCAATAATTACAACTCCCTCCTTGCCATTAAAATTTAGCCAGGACATTGCAAATGGTGTTTTGGGAGATGTAGACTCCAAAACATCTCAAAGAGTGTAATAAGAAACCCTCTTTAAGCTGTTTCTAGGGCAAAACAGAGGTCTGGCTACATTTGCCATCCCCAGAGCATCCCAGCTGGATGGCAGCTCCCCACATCCCTCCCTGGCCACACAGTTGAGTGAGTTTGTCAGCAGTCACGCTCTGCTGTGCTTGTGAATCCTTTTCCAGGAGCAGGACCTTTGCTGCACTTACTGCTGGTCGGGGAGGCCATGCCCAGACCCTTGGGTACTGTCTGGCCCTGCTGCCTGCCCCAAGCTGGGCTGGGGGACGAGGCTGCTGCCATGCAGAGCAAACCAAGGGTCACTGACACTCCAGGCAGAGGATGGAAATGTGTCCTTACTGCCCCCAGGCTCAGTTGAAACCCGTGCTATGTACACATGCATGTTTGTGAGATGTAATATGATAGAGGGCACACCGGGACTTTTTGGATCAATTGTTTCTCAAGAGCTAGAAGCCAAAAAAAAGACAAGAAAATAAAATAAAAAGGAAAAGAAGCCATCTAACTCCAAGTAACGCTATACACAGAATTAATTGTAGCCACTAAGGCTTAATTAATCTGAAGTTTCACAAAAGAAGCCATGCCAGATGAACAGCGATGTTTCCATATTTACTTTGTTTACAGTGCTTTGTAAATAGGTTCCAGTGAGTCTGTCTTTAGATGGATGTTGTGTCAGCTGCCTTCCGGTGTATCTTCATCATGTAGGTTTATTTACTGTAAACTACTTATGCAAGTTCAACTTTTCTAACATGTTTTTATTTTGAACAGTTTTTTAATTGACATTTTCAACAAATAAAGAAGTATAAAAGTCGCTTCTTAGCCCTTGGAGCTGTTTCCTGTGTTTCCACCGTGAAAGCAAAGCCCATGCTCTCTCTGGGCATCACTGATTTCCTCAAAATGCCATGGCGGCATCATACCTCTCTGATTTACTTGTGGGAATACTGGTGTGAAAGATGATGCTGGTACTTGGACTGTTGCTCCCACCAGAGCTACAGCAGGCCAAGGCACCTGGTCCCAGGGGAGGAGATGCATTTCCATCCCTCAAGCCCCATATGCACTCTGTTCACAAGGATGCTTTATGGAGAACAGACTGCTCTGCTGCACCAGGCAGTTGCTGTAGATAAGTGACTTCCTGCCTGTTTGGTATTTTATTTTTTTAGTTAGTGTGTGTTTTTTTCTGGCAATTAGGCGTGGTTACAGGATTTCCTCTGGTCTACCACCACTTGGACAAGACATCTCCTGCAGGCTGGGGTTTTTTAACTCTTTGGTAGAGATGTACCACGGTCTGCAGTCTCAGCCCATAGCAGAAGAGGAGGATTGAGGGCAGCAAGGCTGGACTTTTCTCTCCTTCCCCAAACACAGAGTAGGAAAAATAACAAGGGAAAAAAGAAACACTAGCCTTGAGTGCATCATGGAAAAACACTCAAACTGCCAGAGGGCAGGCTTAGATGGAATATTAGAAAGAAATTCTTCCCTGTGAGGGTGGTGAGGCCCTGGCACAGGTTACCCAGAGAAGCTGTGGTTGCACCATCCCTGGAAGGGTTCCAGGCCAGGTTGGATGTGGCTTGGAGAAACCTGGTGCATATATATGTGTGTGTGTGTGTGTGTGTGTGTATGTATAAATTTGGTTTTTAATGTGAGCTCAGTGTATCTCATATGCCCTGCAAACTCATCACCCTCTCCAGCCTTCTTAACTCAGAAAATCAAAAATCAGTTTGGAAACAGTAAAATCCACAGCCTGAGGACTGGCATAAAGGCCTCGTATCAAGCGAAAAATCAATGTATTGATGACCTTTAAACTTTCCATGAGGAGAGGAAATGGTGCCAGCTGTGGCAACGGGCAGGGCTGGAGGAGAAGGACACAGCTGGATGGCAGCAATTGCATCTTGTCCCCTCTCACATGCTACCTCACATCTGAATCCCACGGGCTATTTTTGCCAAATAAGAAACAGAGGCAAGAAGCAAAAGCCCTGAGAAAGGCAGTGCTGTGGGCAGGGGCTGGGGCTGGTCCGGCAGCCCACAGGCAGGGGAGGTGACAGTTGGCATCTACTACTCTTGCTGCAGAATTTATGGACTTGTTTAATGACTGTTTTCTCCTCCCCTCTCTAATTGTTTTCCTCAACCATGCAATTTGCAGCTCCTGGATCCCTGCTCAGTGATTTGGGCTGGGGATCACAGCCCAGCCCAAGGTCTCTGGCAGGTGGTCTTGGCCACTGAGGCTGGGGGCTGCAGGGGCTTTCAAAGTGTGCACTGATCACAGTTTCTCCTTGCCTGTGACAAGCAGGTTTTGCACTCCTGGAGGTTTTTGGCCCCACAGAAGCCCCTCACAGCTCTCTTCTCCCCATCTACTTGCTCCAAGCTTCTCCTCCTGTCTCAGGCCATGCTAGTTTGCACCAACTTTGGTTTGTCCTGTAGCTTCCACTCACACTCCCACCAAGACTGAGCACCTCCACCTCCCTTGTGGAGGTTTGTGGTTCTTCAGGCAGCTCAGCACTGCCTCCAGGAGCCTGTCCCACAGGGCTGGCTGAGTTTCAGCAGCAGCAGGGATGTGGTCAGAACCACGCCATCACAGGGCACTGTGGGAGGCAGCAGCTGCCCAGCCCCATACGCAGTATGTGCAGCATCCATCCCTCATCCCTCTGCTCCAAAGCAGAGACATCCCTGCAGGCTCCATGGCCTTAGGATGGCAGGAATAATCCTCTTTGACTCAGATGTCCTAAATCCTGTTAACACTAGTCCCCACCCCTCTGTTTCACAGCTGTGTTGGGGGCTTCAACCTCCATGTCTCACTGTCCTCCCAGGACCGGGCTCTCTGCTTCCTCCTCCTGCCAAAATGTCCCTAGTGCTGTCTGGCCCTGGCACCTCAACATGCCTCAAGGAGCATGGTGGAATGGGTGCCCCTGGCGGCTTCTGGGACTGGTTGTTCTCATTGTGACCCCCAGTACCACCTCACTGGCCCCTGACCCCAAGCAGAACCCTGTGAAATCTCAGCCTGGGGCTGGGAAGGGTGAGCCGTGTTCAAAACATACAGAGCCACCTACGTCTTAATTCATAGATGATACAATTAGTTGTATTAATTGTGGAATGATCGGTGGAAGAAACCCCACACTGTGGAAGGGGGGAACCACAAACACTGAATTATGCTGCAAAACACAACTAGAGCCGTGCACAGTCCTCTGGCACTCAGAATCTCTGGTTACAAATATAAGATGGGTTTAGTTAAATAAATAGTCTTTATACAAGATGTCAGACAAGTGTGGTCCATCCCCTAAAAAAGTTAGGCAGTTTTGGAGAAAAGCCAAAAAATACTTAGTAAATTATAGTAAAAGCAGACAGTCCCTGAGCTCTATTGACTTTGGAGGGGGCTGTGCTGGGCACTCAGCTCTGCAATGAGCTGTGCGAAGAATCCCCTTCTGTTCCACCAGTGGTAGACCTGAAGCCTCCAGCACAATAAAGCCTAAAGACTGCCCAAATCTGGAAGCTCTTCCATTTGCAAACCTGTTGGTATCCAGCATTATTTCCAAACTTTGACACTCTAACTGTGACCTGTAAAACCAAAACCCCAGTCTTGTCACATATGTAATCCTCAAATGTTTTTTAAAGTGCTGCATCAATGTCCTTGTGCCCGGATCACCTTTGCTGCAGACCAAGCTGGAGAATAGGATTGGGAAGACCCTAGTGTGCAGTGTCACTCGGGTACCCTCTGCTCAAGAGGTGTCCTGCCCATGTACTGTCCTGGAGCTCCAGGAAAAATGCCACTGTGGACATGTCCTCACTGAGGACAGCTAGAAGATCCTCTGCACATGTGCTTTGGACCAAAGAAACAGGTGGTCCTGCCACCTCCGTGCTTTCCTGGTCCTCCTCCTTGGGCAGGAGGGGGTCTCAGGAGAAGATGCAGTTCCAGTTTTGATGATGGCTCCCAGTGCTGCTTCGACAGGGGAGTGAAACTGCCCACAGGCAAAGGTTCCTCTGCCTACAGAGGTGGGAGGACAGTCTGGCGAACAGATTCAGGTCACCAAGAGCAGACCACGACTAATGCCCTACCTTCTCTCTGCCTTGAAATCTGCAGTCTCCCTCAGCAGGCAGCCACCCCTCTGATGCAAAGCGATTGTCACCAAGTATGAACCCAGCCAAAGCAGTGCCACCCTGAGGAAGTTAACCGGTTAAGTTTCACAGACAGTCAGGGATGGAAAAAAGGGGATTCTCCAGATACAGCAGACAGTTGGGGTGGCAACATTGCCTCACCAGCAGCTACCATGTTACTATGTAAAGACAGTGCTGGGCTTACTGATTCCTTTAGAGATGATGTTCCCAAGCCTTTTTTAATGTTTTTGATGCTTGTAAGCAGATTGGTGCTGCAGATATGTATGAACCCAGCTTGGCTGAAGTGCCCTGAGCCATCCTACATTTCTAGGAAAGAAATGTTGATGGTAGAGTTTGGTAAACAAAGCTCTTGTGACATAACATAGACAACGACCCTGCCAGGAATGTGGGGTGTGGTGGACCCAGGCACATGACACCAGCAGGTACCAAATCAGTGGCTGCAAAAGAAAAAAAATCTGAAAGCAAACAATAACAGCTTCAAACTTTGTTCCATTTGTGTTCTCAGGGCCCTTTGGGCCTCATTAATAAATAACAAAATATACAAATTAAGAAACAAGAAAAACAGAGAGGCAAAGGAACATAAATAAGGGAAAAAGGGAAAGGCACTTTGCTCAAGAAAGTTGGGCTGGATTCCCAGCTCAGGGCAGCCTTTTCCTCACTACAGCTTGAAGATGCCAAAGTAGGTGTTGCCGTGCCTGTACTTCACTTTTGTGGAGTCTGTCACATTGACAAAGACCATGTCACCTTCCCGGAGGCTGAAGACACCTCCCACACGGATGGACTGGAGTTCACAGAGGGACTTCACGGTGCTCTGTGTCTTTTGTCCCTTCAGCAAGAGCCGGTCCTCTTCCTTGGGGATATGCAAATAAATATAGATGGTGAAGGGTGCCAAAGGTTCCCGGGTGCAGAAGCTGACTTGGGAGTAGATGTAGTAGAGTCCTGCTTCCTCCACCTTCAGTTTACCCTCCTTGTTGGATATTAAGCTGTTTGTGGGGCCATACATGGTCTCCTTCCATTCCAGCACTGTAGGGAGAAAGCATGGCAGGTGAGCTCAGAGAAGGAGACTTCCAGTTTGGCAGACTGCTTTGGGGGGACACCTTCAGATATCTGGCCTCAAAGCCTCTGTCTGTCTGCAGGGTGCAGTTAGTGGGTAGCCAGCCCAGGACACCACCCCCAGCCCCAGGGGAGCAGGGACCCTTCCCCAAGGCCAAAGCAGGTTTAACCCATGTTGCTGATCACTGGTTTTGTCAGCGTTGACTCAATATATGAGTGGAGGAACATTTAGCTTCCTTCATCCAGTCAAGTGGAAACGTTTAGGGAGGAAGATTGCCTGTGTTTACCACAACAGACCAAACACTGTCACTTCCATTTGCTGCCTCCGTGGACTTCAGTGGGACACCCTCCAAGCCCCCAGAGGACTACCAAAATATACTGCAACTCTGCTCTTCAGAGCCTCCCATCCCAGTTGTCCCAGTTCGGGGCTGCCTTTCCTCCAGAGTCCTTCCTCCTCTCGGACTCTGGAGATGGTGAGACTTTACCAAGGAAGTACAAAAATTAACATCACAGAGTTCCTATCCCTGCCTGGGTGCAGAGCTGAAAGAGCTTAGCACAGTGAGTGCTGCTTCCCATTGGCAGGACCATGGGAAGGACTACACAGATCACATGATGCCATGGATTTTGGGACACTTTTGGTGTCGAGTAGCTCATGTAGTTGGTCCAGATAAGCCTATACAGAGACCTGGAAGCCATGGCTGTAGGGGCTGAACTTAGCTACAACCTCTGGAATTTGGACCTCTACCTTCCCTAGCCTACAGACACCTGGAAGAGTAGCCAGGGGGAGGAACTTGACTCCAAGGGGAATAATGGGTTCAACTGCCCCAGCCCAGAGACAGTGTGCCATGGGTAGTCCTGGGGGAGCGATGCAACCCATGGGCCCTGACCACGCATCCCACAGGGACATTTCCCCACAAAGAGTTGAGCTCCAGGCAACTGCTGCTCTCTGGACCTCGCTTTATAGGCTCAACAAGTGCTTGAGAAGGGAGTTTTAAAATACAGCAAGTTTATCACTTCTTTGATCTTATCTAACATGAAGCTTTCCACAGGTAAGTGAGCTCTGGGTGAAATGCTGCGTCAGAGATGGAAAGAGCAGTTGCCGATTAATGTCAGTTACTCCAGAATTAAATCAGAAGTGCTCGGATTATGAAATCCTTGTCAGATGGAGTGACTGACCTTGCAAACTCATACTCACTTTGGTAATCCTTGCTGTTGTGGGAAGTCCCTCAGCTAAAGCTATGCCGGGTGACAGAGCAGCAAGAGCAGCCACGGCCGATACAATGGGATGTACAAATGCAAAATCTCTCAAACCTAATGAGGCCATGGCTGTGAATAATTTCAACTTGACTAAATCAGTTTGGAGCCCTATGTTGTTACTGTAAAGCCCACATTGCCATCGGCCAGCCCACATTGCTACCAGGATCACTTTGGGTGAGGATTAAATCAGCAGATACAAATGCGAGCAGAGCCCTCCTGCAGCAGCCAGCCCAGCAAGAGATGGCCAGGAGAGCAAAAAGATCCATTTTAAGAACAAAAGAAATGTGGGAGGTTGTTTTCCTTAAATACAAAGATAAAAGTTTTCCACGCAAAAAAACCCCAGGGAAGATTAAGCCCTCGTGGTGCATTTCTAGGAAGGCACACATAGGGCTACTGAGGACAGGTGGGATGTGCAAACCCCACATGGCACAGGTGCACATGGCGATGTGACCGCTGGGCAGTTTGCTGTATTTTGGAGACACACTTTCTTGCTAGAGTTGTTCTGTCCCTGCCCTCAGAGAGCCACAGGGTAGGACTGTGAATGCACACTGCTGTGACCCTCTGACTCCCTGGTCGAGGCAGGACTGGGTGACTCTGTCTTACCTGAGCCTGCCTTGTTGCTCTGCTGACCTGCCAGATGAACTGCAATTGGCTCCCTCTTCTCTGCTGCAATTTAAAAAGGCCATTGTTATTGATGCTTTGGCACCCACGATTCCCCAGTGCTCCTCTCAGAGACTGCAGCACCTCCCGTCCTTAATGGCTCTCTACAGGCCAGATTCCATCCCCAGCCCTGAGTGTGGCAGGACGTGGCCTCCACTCAGCAAAGACCTGCAGGTGCCTCTGAGGTGAAGTCTCTGATGGATAAAGCCTGTGGAGGAGATGGTGCCACCTTGCCCGTTGTTGGAACAGGACCTGGATGTTCCCACACCTCACCTGCCAGAGATGTCTCATTCTTGTGTGTCAAACGTGGATGCTCATGGTGCTCAGGACCTGCGAAGTAGAAAGGCCACAGAATTAATTTTGGGTTTGACTCCAACAACTTCCAGCTGTCTACTCTGGCACCTAGGTCTGCCTGCCCTGGGGAGACAGCCATGCCCAGTGTCCATCTCTGCCAGCCCACACCGAACTCAGTCCTACCCCCATGGGGATGCTCCAAACCTCAACCCGTCCCCTGCTGCCACACCATGCCCTGAGAAACTCATGGGCTGTTGAAGGAAACCCTTTCCCAGGCCAAGGAACTCCTCCTGCCCCAGCAAGCCATGAGTGCACTTGTCACAGCAGGAAACTCACCTCTCTGCATTTCAAATTTGGGCTGCTCCTTGAGGGATCTGTCCTGTTACAACAGCAAAAAATATATGGTTTTTTTTCAAAATCAAATCTTTTGAAAGGTTCTATATAAAAGATGCTCTGGTCATGGCCGGAGTTGGTGGTATTTGGCTCCAACAGCCTTGTCAGCTCTTGACAGAGGTTACAGGAGACCAGAGAACCCCCTCTTGTGCCTTCCCCAGCTTCACACATGACCATGGGCTGCTTGCAGCAGGGAGTTTGTAGGGTTTATAGTCTAAGGTTTTACTAAATTAAAATGATGGGTAAAGTTTATTTAAAACAATAAGATAAACAAACAAGAAAAATCTCCTTTTCCTGAAATAATGCACACTCATGCTTCTCCTCACTGGTTGCTAGGAGCTCTGTTTCCTGGCCCAAGCCTTGCACTGTCATTGACACCTGAGCAAAGTGGGCAGAAAAGTGTTTCCAGTAGCACTTGGCCACGAGCATCCTCACAGACATCCAGCACAGGACTGGAGAAAGGTGCCAGCTAGCAGAAAATCAATTATTTTCAAACTGGAATTGGGGAGCAGGGCCAAGGAGGCTGCAGCTCCATCCCGCCCACCACAAGCCCCAAACATACCATGGCATGTTGCAGCTGGATGTGCTCTGATCAAGAGCATTTTAGGAAAGAAAACAATGAGATTTTTCAATTATATCAATATAGTGTAAAAAGAATACTGTATAAAAAAGGATAGGTGCTACACACCCCTAAAGAGCACTCATGGTTTTAAAAAAAATGCTTGGGGTGAAGCTCTGTGTATGACTGGGAGCCCCTCTTCCCCTTCAGTGGGATCTTTAGCCACCCAACAGCATGTACCTTGCACTGGATGTTCTGGAAGCCCTTTATAATCTTTTCACAGTCCAATAATGTTGACTTCTGACCTTCTGCTGTCTGGCATTTCTGTACTTTCTTTAGGAAGACGTAATCTTCATTTAAGGTCAGCACCTCTTCCATCTGCCGACAGGGGAGAGAAGGGAGGGTCAATGGAATGTTGGAAGGAAACCTGCAGCAGCTGTCAGCAGAGCCATGCTGCATTCTTGGCAGCAATTAATCCAGCCTGGGAAGCTCAGGGTCGGATGTTCAGCACTGGGATGAGGTGGGCAGCCAAACTGTGGGCAGCAAGACATCCCACAAGACACCCAGCACAGCATCTGTGCCCTCATCCACTGGGAATTGAACCCATGGAGCTCACCCTCACCCTGACTGACAGAGGAGGATTGTTCAGGATCTATTTTCTATCACCTTGATAATTAATTTAAATGTCCACCTCTGACTTTTCTTAAAGGCACAGAAATCCTAGAGGCTGGCTCGGGGGCTTGGGCTTTGCAGCTCCTTCTCCAATGGCCCCAGCAGGCAGCTGGGATCCTCACTCAGCCCCTCACTGCCCTGTCCACACAGAGGGCTTTGAATTTTTTCTGCTTGCTTATTGACTAAAAGCATTGCCAGCAAAACTAAACAGCGTGTAGGTTGGGGTTGAATTGTGCCAAGTTCTTCAGATTAAAAAAAAAAAAAAAAGAATCAGAAAGCCAAGAAGAAAATAATTAAATGCATCCAAATATTGATTTTTAAATTTACATCTATTGGGGGTTTTTGTTGGTTTTTTGTTCCTGTAAAAACCTAGCATTCAGTTAAACGGTAAAGAGAAAGTGCAGCTGATCATGAGGACACAGAGACAGGCAGAGAGGTCAGCACAGGCAGCACTAGGATGTGGGGGGTCATATTTGAAGCCCTGCCACAAGCTCTGAAGGCAACTGAAATCCTCTTGCCACCTGTGACTGCATTTCAGCTGCCTCTGATCCTCAGCCGTGTCCCCCTACAGTCACATTTCCCTCTGCCAGAGACCCTCCACACATCTTCACGACAGCTGCAACCTCCATGCAGTGAAGTCCCCTGCCAGCCCTCTGATACTAAAGCCCTCCGAGCTCAACATTGCACTCCACCCTTGTAGATCATCTGTCGTTTCAACTTGAATTGAAATGTAAGCTGAAACGACACATGTAAAAATCAGTAACATCCACCAAATCAGTGTATCTGGTAAGCAAAATGAATGCTGGGTTTTAGGCACATATTTCTTTAGCTGGCAGTTGTTTCTGGCTTGAAGGAGAGTAGCTTTAGATTGGTGATATTGGGCATCATGCCGAGCAGCTGCAGACTTACCAACCTCAAAAACAGCTTTCCAGACTTTAATTTTTTTGGTAAATATTACAAATATTACAAAAATAAATATCCTGTCCCAAGTCCCTAAACTGAAAGACAGCATCTAAAGTGAGATGTTGGTAAAATCACTGAAACACTAAAAAAAATTTCATTTCTGGACATTTCATCCTTTCAGCATCACAGTGCTAATAAGTGCTACAAAATCAGAAAAACCACCACCAAGCCTAAAATAGCCACTTGCATAGCCTCTTGTCCTCAGACTAGCATCAGCTACCACGTTTACTCTTAGCATCTCTCCTCGATTGGTCATTCTCTTTTTGCCAGCAAGTGGATCAGATTCCTTCTCCCGCATACATCTCTGTGGCAAATTAAAGCAGAAATGAGAACATGGGTATGATAAATGATACTGCTGTCTCCATCCAGTGGTCAGCACCATCTTCCCCTGTGTTCATTGTCTTGGTGAGCAGATATCACCAGAGCTGAAGTCAAACCATGCCAGCAATCCAGCAGAGACAGAGACAACCTTCTCTCTCCGCTTACCTTATCCATCCTCATGTGAAGATACAAACAGAAGAGCACGGTCCCAATGGTCTGCACTACAATAAATACAGTGAGGAAGCCCATGAACATTTTCATGATGCCAGGAGATGTGCTGCTGATGGGACGGGGTGCCTCAGGGCCATAGGGTTCATTCATCATCTGTGCACCTTGCTGAGGCTCCTCCAAATGTGCTGCTTGCAAGTAGCATCAGAACTGCTCTGCGAGCGCCTGCTGCTCAGGGGATACAGGGTGCAGCAACCTACACTTCCTGGAAAAAGCTCTTCGTAGTGGGTAAGTTTGTTCACTACCATCTCCCACAACAACAACAACAACAAAAAAGTTCCTTAGACTTTCTTCTCTGTTGCACTTCCATGCTTTTTCCTACTGTTCTACCAGAAACAGAGAAAGGTTCTTATTTCATATATTCATATTTGCCCTTGAATCACTCCAAAATATTCCCTGGTGGGGCTCTTTTACTGCTGCGGATGAAAGTTTTGTGGCAAGTTGCCTTAAAAAGAAATGAAGACTGAATACAAGTTCAGAGCTGCTGAGCAGTACTGTGGGCTGCCAGGGGCTGGGAAGCACTCAGAAGTTTGGTTGTTTCTCAAAAAAGGAAGAATGGCTCTTTGCTTTTTCCTTTAAGAGAAGGATGATTTCTGTAGTGAAGATGCCTGGCTGAGGCAGGTGGGTTGTGCTGGTTTCTGCTTTCCCTTGTGCTCCCCCCAGGAGATGCCTCTGCCTGGGTAGGCTGGATGATCTGGGGGAAAGCACCATCTGTACAGACACTGTGACCCTGATGTAGGCACAGCTTTCATGCTCTTCAGCAGACAGTGGGACTTTGGGCTTGGTGCTTGGCCATCACTTTAGAGAAACAAGTTTTAAGCAGCTTTCTTGATTCCCTAGTGAGGTGTTCACCCTATACCCAAGGGCACAAGCCATCTCATACCCTACCCCACTTATCCCTGTTACCTGTTTCTATGTACCTAAGCATGAAAAAGGGCTGTTGGGAATGCCAGATACTCCTGCCAGCTTCTGATCTCCCAGCATCACTGCCATGCAACTTCGAGAAACCCAGGACCCCTCTACACCCTGACCCCTCTCGAGCTGGCTGCAGGGACGTGAAGTCCTGCCCCCCAGCTCTTCAGGAATCTAATATTCATGAGTACATGTACCACTGTAAATAATATACAATAAATACCGGGGATCATCATTGCTTGCAACGGGGGACAGACAATTTTCTCCATGTAAAGAGAATAAATTTGGGGGTTTGTTGGGATGCAGAAGAGGGGGACTGCAAGAATGTGTTGAGGAGGGCTGGGGCACTAGTTTGAAGGCTTCATCAACCATCACATAGTTTTGAAAGTGGTCTGCTAGAGGAGATGTTCTTATCAGATGTGTGCACAGCCAGTACAGGTTTGAATCCTGCCAAGGCAGGGGGGTGCTGAACAGGTCCTGCTTGCCAGCAGCCCCAGGAGAGGAGGGTACATAGTGCCTTTTGGGGCTGCTTAGAGCATTGCAGGATGGAGTCCAGCATCTGCTTTTGCTATCTGCCTTCTCTCCCGCATCCTGCCCTGCGTGGTTAAGGTGCTGTGAGCTGCAAATGCAAGTGCTGATAACAAAGCACAAACACCTCTGCAACTGAATCAGGGTTTGACCTTAGCATGTCACTGTGCTCCTAAATATAACACCCCAATCACAAGTGTGGGATGGCTCCAGGGTCTTTGTGGGCAGCAGTTGAGTAACAGCTGAGCTGAGGGCCGAGGATGGCTCGGGGCTGAGGCCCCGGTTGGTGCTTTGGACTCATGTAACCCTTCAGCTTGCCAGGACTGTCACAACTCTGCAGTGACGGGTAGGACTCATCCTTCAGGAAGAGGCTGCCAGCTCCAAGGTCAGCACTCCTTTTGCCTTCTAGAGGAGAGACGAGCTGCTGGAGACCCTCCCCCTGAGTGCCTGTACTCTGAAGGCTGCCCACACACCCTGACCATCCAAGGGCTGCCTTGCTGCTCTGCTCATCAGGGTTTTCCAGTCTCCTCAGCAGTGTTCTCCCAACAGCAGCAGAGTGACCCAAACAGTGCTGGGGATGCATTATTGTGTCCCCAAAGAGGGTCTCCTCAGCATTACTGAGTTTTGGACCTGGTCCCTTGGGCTTGCAGCTCTGCTGTGCAGAGGATCAAGCCCACACACAGTCTGGGGCCACTGCCAAGTACCTAATTTTATTTATTTTTGTCTTAAAATTGCCATAATCTTTGGAAAGGCCAAGCCTGGCCTCCTCTCAGGCATCTGGTCTGACAAGCTCCTGCATACTGTCCCTACCATGGCAAGTTTACCACGGGCAGAAAGCCATTTGAAAATTCCCAATAATACTCCAGACAGCTGAGGGCCATGAGGCCACAGTAGGGAGCAGCACCAGCTCCCCAAAGTCCTCATGCTTTGCCTTAGCCCCATCACACTCACCAGCATTTTCCAGGGCTCTTTAGAGTTTTCTCTAAATTTAACACATCTGGGGGAAGTCACTACATGTGAAACTAAATTGCATGACAAGTCATCATTTAATACTGTTCCCAAATGCGCTGGGACAGAGGCAGCCAATATCGTGTGAAACCACAGCTCTGAGTGTTGCACCGCTGAGTGTTGTTTTTGCACAGCTATTCCTGAGCCCTGGCTTTCTCCAGCAGAATAAACCTTTCCAAAGACATTTCTGTGTAGCCACCTGCTTCACTGAAATGAGAAGAATCTGTAGGAAATGTTGAAAAGTCCAAGTATGTTGCTGGTCCCATTGCACGCACCTTGATGGAGAGGCTGGAGCCTTGGATGGGCTGACAGGTTTGGCGAGGAGGGTGGGGAAAGGCTCCAGGTTTGGGTACCCAGCACAAAACATCACTGGTTGGTCAGCTTGTGCTGCAAACCAGGAAACTGAGTTGCTCCTTGGCAGCACCCTGATAGGAGAAACCCAGTGGAAAATATGACAGTGGGGATCCTGGCAGAGGTTCAGTAGCAGCAGCTCCTCTTCAGGAAACCATTGCTCCACACCAGCAATCCAGCCCCTTGCTGCTGCAGCTGGTGGGCTGCAACCCTCGGGAGCTGTCCACTCTGCAGCACCTGGTCCCGAGGCTTCTCCCGCTCAACCTGGACCACCGTGGCTGCTCTGCCAGGAGTGTTGGATCAGACAGGACAATCTGACCAAGCCCTGCGGCAGGCAGACCCCCAGTGAGCAGTCCTGGCACCGTTGCTGTTCAGAGCCAGGCAACCCAAGGACGTGCTGCAGGGTATGTGTGACTTGGCCCCTGGGGACATGCTCTGCTGCCACCTCACATGGATAGTAGGGATGTGGGAGATGCATATCCCTGACTGGCTGCTGTAGGAACATGGGGGAGTATAGCAGAACAGGGAACACAGTCTTAGGGAAAGTGGGGCATAATCCAGAGAGACGATGGGCAAGGAAGAGAGGACTCAGAACCAGAAGAAAGAGTCTGCATTCATGAGATAATCCCAGGGAAGACGAAGTCACATCTTCACCCTGTAACTAGCCCATCACCAAGAAACCAACTGGGTTTTCTTTCACCTCCCACCAAACTCTCTGAACGTAACCATGCCCACCCACTTGTGAACCCAAACTGGCACAGTTCCTCCAGCCAGATAACCCCTGGGTGAGACGATGGGAAAATGTGATCCATTGCTTGCATTCCTCTTGCCCTACTTGTGGTATTTCCGCTGATCAGCAAATTGTCTCCATTTGTCTTTGGGGTTCTGAGTGTTGTTTACTGACAAAATATCCGGTTGCCTGCCCCTGTGATCTGTCAAAGGCTGGGAGCATCTCTGAAGGCAGCAAGGTGAAAGCTGCTGAGAAGAGAGTGATTTTTTGGGTTTTTTTGGGTGCCTGCTGTGGTTTCTTGACTAGCTTTTTAAAATGTGATGCTTGCCCCACACACTCTTTACAATTAACAAAAGCTGGGTGTTGTGCAGTGCTAAGAACAATACACTCAAAAAGAAGATTTTATTCTGAGTCAGAAAAGGAGTTCGCCTGCAATGCCGTGGGAGGGATGCAGAAAGGAATCTATGAGAGAAACCTAAATTAAGGCCCTTCAGCCCAGGGCTAGAGGCAGAAGGGAAATTTGAACTTTTCTGCCATTTGTTTTTTTACTTCTTTAGATTTTTCATTCTCCTGTATCCTCTGACCTCTCAGATCTCCAGGACAACCCTGTCATCAGAGAGTAACAGGGAACAGAAATAGCCAGAGCACCACAGAAAACACCACCAGCATCTGGAGAAGGAAAGGTTGCATTAGTGTTTCTGTTCGTTATCTACCTCAGTCAAATAAAAGAAAATTCTTGGAGTCCAAAGCAGCACGAAGCAGTTTCGGGGAGAGAAAAATATGTCAATGCTTGTGAAAGTTACATCCCTCTGTGGAAGAGAAGAGCAGAATATGCCGGTTGTAGCCACCATGGTGGCAATGGTAGGCTGCAGCTCCGTTGCTTGCCATGTTCCTCAGCCCTGGAGAAACCCATGTGGAGATGAGCCAAAGTTCCAAGCTCCAGCAAATGTGAACACAGGTGGTCCCAGCAAGTAGATCAGATCAGATGTATAGTATCATCTTCACTGCAGTTTCCCTGCAGATGTGAGGGGGTATCTGCCTCCCCAGACATCTTCTCTGCCACCCTCCAGAGCAGCAAACAACAATAGAAAAAGAGCAGCAGGGGGTGACGCTGGGCTGCTGCTGTCCCTCTGAGCAGCCCTGTTCCACTGTCCCCTGTGCCCCCTTCCCTCCTTACCCCTTCACTTCCCTGCCCTTCTGTACAACCCACTGTTGCACCCTGAGCCAGCCTTCTCCCCAGGGGACTGAGGTGGGTGGAGAGCAGGGAACAGCAAAGAAACAAGCCTCAGTGGCCCCGCAGAGGATGAAGGGCCCCGAAGCACATGTGGCTTTCATGCCACATCTGGGTGACAATGCCAGCCTTGCAGTGCTGAGCCACAGAGAGCACCTGGCCTCAGAACTGCTGATGCTGAGCTTTGCTGTAGCTGCAAAACCACAAATGGCACTAGAAACTTCTTGCTGTGAAGGCTGCACCTACTTCTCCCAACTTCCTAAAAATAGAGCCCAGTGTGGGGAGGCCCACGGCCCTGGTCCTGCCAAACAAGCCCCTCTTGCCTGAGTCACGGCGGAAGGGAGCAGAACATCCCGTGCCTTCCCCCGTTCTCGGTCAAGTGCTGAAAGCTGC